TGGAGACTCAAATTATGCACACACACGCACGCAAACCAATTCACATTGTTACCTACCGCTTGGACGCACGTGTGTACCTTACATCGCTGGCAGAAAATGACAAGCATGGTGACATGAAGCATTTCTGCCAAAGAAATGCTCGTGATGCATTTTTATCAGCAAGCCGTTTTGACGCGTGACACATCGCTTTGGCCAAAATTTAATTCCGCTTCTAAAAGCATCGGGCGGATACCTGTTGGTGCGTCATCAGAAAACTCACGAAATCACCCCAGCCCTCCCACATACGGCTGATTTTAGTGTGTGCGTGTGTGTGCTTTTCAAGCTTGTGTTTGTGCTGCTCCGCTCCGTAAGTATCCTTTTTGTTGTTGTAGTTTGTTGAGTTGTCCATCCGTGACTACCCCATTGGAATAGGGCGATTACATATGCGTATACAAATCCAGCATGAGAGCCACGGTGGCTAGGAGATGTTAACTACCTCGTCTGGTATCCAGGAGGTTGTGGGTTCGATCCCGACCCTGACGCCTGCTATATATTTGGAGTTTGCATGTTATTCCCAGTGGTTGAGGGGATTTTTCTCCAGGGCCTCTGGTTTCTCCCTCCATATGTAGAAGCATGAGTTTAGACTCATGGCTGTAGTAGGGAATCAGGCGACAATTCTGGCTGTCGCCTGATGATGCTAGTTGTAATTACTGGTGAAACATCATACTCGAATTGTAAATGTTGTGGGTTTACTCTCCAACACAACGGTGTGCTGGACTAGTAACGAATTGGGATGTTTCTTGACTTAAAGCTTTCGTGACTGCAGGAATTTATATTCGTTGGGTCTTTCGGTAAAGCCACATAGATATAACAAATAATAAAAATAATAACAATATCATGACGTTTCGATTGCAACACAAGCAATCGTCATCAGGTGACAAATAGCAACTCTCCCGCTATATATTTCACCTGATGACGATTGCTTGTGTTGCGATCGAAACGTCGTGATATTGTTATTTTTTTTATTATTTGTTATGTCTACGTGGCTTCACCGAAAGACCCAACGAATATGAATTGAGATGTTTTTTTTACGTGAACAACCTTACTAATTGGCTGTGTCGGGTGGTGGCGGGTTTAACGACACATTTATATTTATGTCATCTAACGCAAAAACTCTATCGTGGACAATATTGGTCGCGAAATACTACGTGTTATAAAGTAACGCGTTTTGTTTATCGTTCAAACGAGCAGGAACAACGAGGCTGACGTGCCCTTTGAGAGTGGAGGAGATGATGCTGGGAGACAGAAATTACTTTTGTGTAGGAAGTGCTCCTGCGCAAAGCCACGAAAATAAATAAAAGACAGAAGATTGCTTGCCCACACATCAAGATTCTCACACTGGCACATGCCTTCAAAATGAAATTCAACCTTCATTCCTTACTTTGACAACAACGGTAACACATCGTGATCTGAGATAAAGCACCGGATACCTATGAGGGATGTGTGCTATCGAAAAAGATGCCTTTAAACATTTTTACCAGCGACTTACTTGGCAGTGTGTCTGTTACGCAATAGCTACTATGAAGTCACTAAGCATAAGCCCATAAAAAAAAAACTTGTCATAAGAAAACATGTTTGTAAATTAAATTATCATCAGACCCCACGGTGTTAAGTGCAGTCTCCAAACCCCATTAACGAACCACTATCTCTCTGGCCTTTCTGCGTGCTAGGAAGAAATGCCATCGACCACAACATAGGAGCCGGGATGATAGCACTGAGGTAATAACATTGGCTTTTATATATACTTCTTTCTGTTAAGGCCACAGTGTTATTGTTTGTTCGGCAAGAGAGAAATCATTCCAGGTGCATATGGCAACATGCGTAGAACACAGTGCGTGTGTGCCTTGTGTGTCTAAACTACGGTTTCCACAACGTGCCGATTCTACGATATTTCGTATAATGTACAATGCATGTCGTTAGTTTTTCAAGATATGATATCCTGATTATCTTTTATAACTTTTCTTTTCCTCCAAATTTTATTTCCTGACAAAACATAAATGCCATAACAAACTCAATAATTAAAGCTTAAAATAATGAGCTATTATCAATTCAATCAGTGCTTCGCGAAATAATTTTAAGAGTATTTTATAGCATGATGCTTAAATTACATAATCACTTTCATAGTTAATTTAATTGTGTAATTATGTTTGATTAACTGGGAGCATGCGTGTTATCGATTATAAAAAAAATATTATCATTATTATGGCAGGCTTTAACTCCAGAAGAACTATAAAGTGTTTTTCTTTTAATATTCTTAATCAGAAGTACAGAAAAGCAGACCAACACAATAAATGGGCAACTGATATGGTGGTTAATAGTCAAGTCTTGAAATTCGATTGGTAAACTGTACCAAGAAAAACGATACCGTGTCTACTTTAAACAATCACAGAGCAGTGCTCTTCCACATTGGCAGTCGCACAGCAGTCGTAGACATTCCACATTCCTTTGGTGAGGGCTCGTCTATCCAGAGAACAATCACAGTGTAAAATAAAAAAAGTGCAATGAAGTTCAGCATAATCAATGCAATGATGACATACCTTCAAACCTTAGATGTAACTAAGATCTGTGCTGTACTCTATATCATCTGTACCGTCGCAGGTTGCCTAGGAAATAAAGTCCAACAGCCCTCCTGCTAAATTAAATAAAATCTAAAAATCTAACATTCGATACAACAAAAGACAAAGATCCCTCCGCATAGCCTTAACAGACTGTTGGGGCAAGCGCTGTTAGCGAGCACCTATGAAGTCCGGGACGGCACACAAGGGAATGGGTGTCCATCACCACGCCCGGCCGCCTTTGTCTCCCGAGTGGCAATGTTTACACACTGCACTAGGTACTTATTTGAGGCTGCGTCAACATAGGAGAGGCCCAGAACCGCTTCAGATGATCATCGCCGGTGTTGGCCGTGAGCGGGAATCGAACTCACGTCCCCGGATTCGTAGCGCAGCGTAGCGCTAACCCATTGCACCACCGCTCCCCGTTCCAAAATTCCAGGGGATGCCCCTACAGTATTCCTCCATCTGGTTTATGGTCTTCTTCTTGGTCAGTGACCTCTGGGTGTCACTCCGGTGGCTGTCTCGGTAACCTGCCCTCCTTCCATCGTATACGTGTACTCTACTCATTGAAGCCTCCTATTCCTGAAAACTTAAATAACATGTCACGACTACGTTCTCTTTTTAACAATACAAATTTGGTTTACCCTCTCCCACCATGATATTCCTAGCAATCTCCACATGTACATGTACTCAAAGCCAGAGATGCCTGTTGACTAATGTCATTGCCTTGTTAAGCCATGGCAGATGCATGACACTGCATGCATTGAAACGCAATGGCTATGGATGTGATGGTTTCATATGATGCTTGTGGTGGATTGCAACTTTAAAAAAATCTGCCCAGAATTAATTCCTCCCGTCATATCTGCTTGTCAAGCTTTACCTTTGACAGGCCAGTGGGAGTGGAAAAGTTGATTTACAATATATATAAAATGCTATACAGCATCCATATGGATGCTGTATAGCATAGTGGTTTTGTCTGTAATTGTTTCTGATCTAATTTCCAGCTCATATGATTTTGTACCATGTGTTTATGATATAGCTATGTCCGTATCTTCTTCGTACTTTGTTATGTTTCGCAAGCTCCAAAGTTGCGGTTAACTCTGTCATAAACTGGAATGACTGTGCGTAGATCTCTTAGTTTTCTGTAATTTAGGTCTGCATAGCATGTGCTAATCCACTTCGTTAACCTTCGTCACCATTGCAAAATGACTATGATGTCCCAATGGGTTTCTCATGCGGTGAAGTACAGTCTACGATGACGACTGCACTGGCCATGTGTGTGGTCTCTTCTTTGTGTGTGTAAACGATGGGTGGTCGAAATATATATTTTAAAGATGTACGTGGGGGACTTATTATGAGGCCCCTGTGTTAACGTATTACTCGTTCAACAAAATGCAACTGTGTTTATGCTAAGTCGTAGAGAACAAGCCATATGGGATCATAATGCGGTAAAAAACTGTTACTGACAAATATCCCCAGTTTAGCCGCACTCATTGTAAGGACAAAGTGCTGGAGGCGATTTCCCACTGGCATTGGCACATAACTTGATGAGGTGGTAGTTGCCAGCCGCATGCCCAATCACTTTTGTTTTTTGTTCCCACAGTGTTGACAATGGCAAACACTTTTGGCCGAGCCAAGCTAATGAACAACTAAGCGGGGTTCGAATGGCAAATTTACAATGAGAGTTTATGGGATCGAAGCACACTCAGTGTGTGCTAACCGTTTACAACACGTCTGCGCTCAAACACATCCACACCCCCCCCCCCCCATACAACCCGTAATCCCCGGGGGGGGGGGGGCGTCAATAAAATAAGGACTCAGTAGTTGCAGAGAGTCAATAATTTGCTATCCAATGGAGACACAACCAATTGTGATACAACCGTAGAATTTCAACCAGGCCTAGGAGTCAGCCAATAGGGACGGGGCTTGAACAAGAAGTTGAATAGATTTAATTTGACTTGGAGGGATGCTCTTGTGGTGTAATGGGTTAGCACACTGGACTTGCAATCAAAAGTTGCCAGTTCCAAACCATCTCTTGGTGCGGTAATTGAAACAATGGTGCAATTTTCTTGAATTCCGCCCACCGCCACCCGCCAATCTCTGTTGTCCGCCCAGCGGTATAAATGGCTACCATCGTGAAGCCGGTTGGCAGGTCACATTCGGTGGTCTGAGGTGTATACGTACTCCCACTTCGTCCCATGACATCTGGCGAGTGCTGTAGGGCAGCGTCAAAGACCCTCTAGAGGACTACTCTCTACGGCTCCCTTCGAGTGGAGACCCTTCCGCCAGCAGTGGCGTGCGGCGAGCGATCCCGGGGCAGTGCGCTCACCTTTTACCCAAACGCGCAAAACAAAAAAACGCACAACGCAATCACGCAAAGCGTGCTTCCGCACGGAGCCACGATACCTTCAGGTTGTCCGGGAGCTCGGCGCGGCCGGCATAGCCGGGGTTCATCGTGATGAATATGGAGCAGGACGAGTCGAGCGCGATCTCCGTGCCCTCAAACACGAAGCTGTGCAGCCGCTCGGCCACCGCTCGCTGGATCGTCTGGATTTGCTGGGCGACCACGGACAGCACCTGCACCGCGGCGCAAGCACAGAATCGGAATCAGAATATCTATTTATGCACAGGAGGAATCCGATGAGCTATGAAGCTCTTTTTATTACAGATGTCAAGTAGGGGCAGGTGAGACCGTTACAACAACAAACAATGCAAAAATATGACAGGAGTGCAACGTCTAGGAAAGGTAAACAAATATCTTTAAAATATACAAATACAATTTGAACGATTTTTTTATATATTACTAGGTAGAGCCCACTGAGGTATTAACTTATTTTTCAAAAGCAACCTGGCGAGCAGAAATGATAGCTCTACGAAGTGTCTTATCATCACGTGGAAATTTATCCCGGTAAAATAATGGGGCCGGGCCAAATATTTGACTAATTGGTGACAATGATGCTGCCGCTGCTGAGGTGGCAGTAGTGCAAACGAAAAAATAACAGGAAAAAAAACCTCAATACATTCGTCAATAACACTGCGTTAAAAATAAAACGATATATAACAGGCGCCGTCTCGGGCAATGGACCTTCCTCATGACCCTCCTCATCTCTGTGCTATGAGGGCCATTGCCAAAGATGTTGCCTGTTGAATTTTTTTCGCTTTAAGGTGGTGTTATTGATGAATGTGTTTGAGAGGTTTTTTTTCTCTTTCCGAATATTGTACTTGTCGGTACCATCTGCGATGGCGAATCTTGGGTTGTGCCAGCATCTTTAAATTGGCAATGAAAGTTAACTGTTGCAATACGATTAAATAATAAGCATCTTATCACATAATCCACTTTTATTAGCCATGTACACAAACTGGTATCATGAAATATGTATCACCTCTTAGTGGTATCAATTCTGGCCTCGCCCATGGACTACAAAGCAGCACATCCGTGCTGCCTAAGGAGTATATACATGTACAGCCCTTTTGTCAATAAGGATTTAAGAATTTTGAATATATATAGGGAACTTGAAATGCTTCAGCAACCCAAAGCCCCTGAGATTACATTTCATCTCAACCATTCCTTTTGTGTCACACAGAGACAGCTGCCCCAGTGGCAGCTGTCTCTGTGTGGCACAAGCTGAACACTGCACCGGCCGACATATGTTCAGCAGTCTACGAGTACACGGGGTGATGCTGTGATGCAACTATTCCAAGTGAAATAACTTGTGAGTAATTCATCAAATATGGCAAATTTGGACCATGATGCTCAGCACACGTGGCCTACTATTTTTTCAATGCAGTGTCGGGTCATATAAGGACAGCATTTCTTAACTCTTTGGTTCTTTCGGTAAAGTCACGTATAAAGAGAAAATAATAAATTAAATACTAGCATACGACGTTTCGATTGCAACACAAGCAATCATCATCAGGTATAAATGAAATGGAAACACAAATTTAGTATACTTAGAAATGTAATACAAAAGAGAGTCGGATAACATAACAGTCAACAGGTAGGGTGTTGACTGTTATGTTATCCGACTTTCTGTTGTATTACATTACATTTCTAAGTATACTAGATTTGTGTTTCTATTTCATTTATACCTGATGATGATTGCTTGTGTTTCAATCGAAACGTCGTATGCTAGTATTTAATTTATTATTTTCTCTTTATACGTGACTTTACCGAAAGAACCAAAGAGTAATTCCTGCAGTCACGAAAGCTCCAAATTAAGTTTATAGCATTTCTTGAATTCAATTCCTGACCTCCAAATGCCCGACATGTATCCTGCTACCCAGTGACCTGTTCTTACCACCACCACGTGGTGCTGCTGCAAGGATGTTCAATTCAGAATGCGACGGTCACAAAGCTGAAACCATGGCTGGAAGGAACATCAGTTCAGTATCCCTAAAGGGTTCATAAAATAAGCACCAATTTGTGGAGAGGCGATAGTGGTCAACCATGGGAGTACTCGCCCGAACAATGTGGAATTTCCACTCACTGATTTCTAATGGAGATGAGCGTTGCCTCAAGATTGTCATGCAGGCAAACGCTTTGTATATGCCTTTATTTTAAGAAGATGTAAATTGAACAGTGCTCGATAATGACATCTGCTGATTGGTGGCCTTGGGGGTGGACATGTTCAGCAGACTATCAACTGCACACCAGTCAAATGCCACTCCCTCAGTCAGGGTGATTACATTGTGTTTCCTTGTATTGTGTGCTGGTGACCACACGCATAAAACACCTGCATATGGCCCCTTTCAAACTCATGCAATTCATCAAGAGCATTCAGCAAAAAACATTTAAAAATAAAAAATCAGTCTGAATAAATTGATTTGAAACTGCCTGCAACAGATTGCTCCTATTACATTCCAGTTATTTTTGGATCCACTTTCCATTTTAGGCAGGCTTCCAACACCACTAAAAATACTGACTTCAGAATTTAAATCATAATAATAATCTATTGCTCGTTGTCAATCAATTGCTGGATGAAGTTCCCCAAAGCCCTGTGAGTTTTGGGGGTTGTTTGACCACACTTGACCATGCTGGCCCATAGCACAGCGTGATAACCGTATTCCCTTGACAAAGACAAAGGACAGTGACTGTAGATTTTCCAAAAAGTGGTACTGAATTGATTTACATTGATGGGCTGATTCAATCCATGACCATTGTTTTAACTCCCAACCTTATGGGCCAGGGCAAACATAGATGTTACAATCCTGCTTCTCAGCAGTAAAATACTAAATTCACTTACGAAAATCAGGATATACACGAAATAACTATTTAATACATAGCTATCTAAATTCACACATTTATGCTGTACTAAAAGTGACACAGCACTTATAATCTTTGTACATCTTTGTGTAAAAATGTAATCGGTATTTTTGATGCTACAAAGAAGGTGTGTCAGACAGTAATAAGAACTCCCTCAAATACATTTCCTGCATGAAAGACTGTCTCTGTCTCTGACTGTCTGGAACCTTCCGCCCTGCTGCCAATGACACATCTCACCCCCCGCGGGGAAGCAAGTCCCTGTGCTTGAAAGCCACTGCTGTGACAATCGATGTTTAAATATATTGCACGTACGAAAACAGCAATGACAGTAAAACAACATGCATCATGGTGACACAATACACCTCTTTAAAATGTATCAAATGCTGGCTCTCATTGGGTATGGGTTAAGAAAGCATGGCAGAGGCCTTTGAGCCAAATCAATCAAACTCTTTATTTATATCCAGATGACAACCCGACGAGATGCAATATCTCTTTCACAAAGGAGACATGTAGGTCAAAAACAAGGCATTTAACATCATTGCGAAAGGATTTCTGACAGTAATAGATCTGCTACAAGACGAGCTCGTTGTTTTAAAGACCAACGCCCATCCACGCGCATCTCCGGCGTCATCTCTCCCCCTTCATCTCCACCTCCAATACCCACAGGCGCCTCTCTCTCTCTCTCTACCCTGTGTGAATCACGGCTCAGTGGGAAGTGGCTCCTTTCCCTCTGCCGAAGCCTCCCTCCCTCAGACTGCCGGAATGGAATGTTCCATCCACGAATTTTAATCCGAACCGAAGACCAACCCTTCCGCCGTTGCCTATGGTTAATCCCTCATCAATATAACCCATTCCTATCCTATCACCCCACGCACATTTGGAGCAAACCCCAACGTATGCATCATATTCATGAACGGTAACAAAAATTCTATCGATATTTCAATATATTTCCTTTCATTTTACTTGATACAATAGCTGTTTTTTTTTGCTGTACATGATGACAACAGTTGTCCGATGGAATGATTTGCATCCAAAATAGGAATGTGAAATTACAACGACTGGCCTAAAGCTATAAACAAGAGATGACCACTTCAACGTGTATCATCTGAGCAGGAAATCACTTTGAATTTGATCGCAATATCGCACATATATAAATGGCGCTGACAAAATGATCATGAAGTATAAATTGGTTGTCCTATAGATTTATTCAATTCTAACCATGATACATTTTCACTCACCAAAATCCTCCAATGGATATGAATGCCTCACCAACATTTCTTTAAGCAAGGAGACATTTGGTTTGTTTGACGTATACATCTAAATTCTGTTTAATTATACGTATAAACAGTAGTGCAAGCAAAACAAAAGCACCATAAAAAAACCCTACAAATAATACTGATGCAAATATTGCATATTATACCCCACCTTCTCCCAAGGTGTCATCATGGCCTGTTCTTTTCAGTCTCCCACCATCTCGATATTGGTTTCCCCAATGGTTGCCAAGCTCTGGGTGTGACTCCATTACATCTGTTGACAAGGTGCCTCCTGCACCCGACACACACGGGTCCCTCCCTTTGCAACCGACCTCCTTATTCCGATCACGTCCACAGCACGTTCTTGCCAAGCTCCTACATGAACGTCTTATTCGCTTACCCTATCCTTACACATATTCCCCCGCGAAGTTCGCACGTACCTGCATGTGTGGACCAGAAGTTTTTTCTCTTTGCTTTGTCCAAGTCAAACTCTATGACACGTGCAGTAACATTGCCATTACTCCCTTCATCAAATGGGCACATTTAAAACTACATTTCACATCTCTATGAAAATGTAGGATATGCAGAATATCAGGCACCAACCCTTGCTAATGCAACCAGGCTCTTGATGTCCTTCTGACAACCTCTGGCTATAATGCACATTACTAAATCAAACTATGAAACTATAAACTCTGTATTTTGGTAAGGCCCACTGAGCTATGTAGCTCTTTTTCAGAAGCGACCTGGCCACAAATGATAGCTCAACAAAGTGGCTTATCGCGTGGAAATGTAAATCGGCCAAATACCTTAAACGCATGTTTCTAAATGTGGAGGGAAAAATCTGAGGACCCGGAGAAAAATCCACGCGACCACGATGGAGAACATGCAAACTCCAAATATACAGCAGGCGTCAGGGTCGGGATTGAACTCACGACCTCCTGCATACCAGGCGAGGGAGTTAACATCTCACCTCCGTGGCACCCCTTGTGTACAGAAGTACACAACAACCTCTACTACCTCCATATTCTTCACTTCCTCTCGATATCTGTGATAAGGGTACAACGGAGGTGTCATTCCTCACCACTGCCATCAATTTCACTTTCGAGAAGCTCACATTAAGAATTGGCAATCGATAGCTGCCAACAGTTATCATTATCAAATAGGCATCACCCACACACTCCCAAGTTTCTCAGCTGAAGATTATTCACAGTGATGACCGTGTGTGCAGTATTATGTCTCTCTGCCCTATCCACGGTTTTAATGGCAACATAATCAAGCGCGAAACAATTACGTGGAAATATAAAACCATTCCAGACACTGGCTCTCACCTCAACCTATTTTCTTAAAAAAAAAAAACTGCAGAGTTGACACCTGACTGCCAAGGTCTGCTCTTACAGTCTCTCCCCACCATCTATATTAGATCTCCCATTACTTGTTGACCCCTTGACTGCCCATTCCGATGCCTGCCTCAGTTAGAAACACCTCTGCCCCCGTACACCAACCTCAACCCATCACAACCACTTTTCTCCGATAGGATCTATACATTCGCACTTATCTCCCACGCTTTGCTCTGTACATCTGAGTGGCTTGCCGCAGCTGTACTACGAAGTTCCGTGTGTGCACTGTGTATAATTACACGTGGAAATCCTGCTCCGTTCCTTGGTTAATTTGTTTGGAGTCCACACACATGCAAGTGTGACTCAAACATTCACATGCACTTCCTTATTCCCCAGACCCCCTCCGAGTAACACAGTTTCTAAATGTGTTATATAATCCATTAGGGGCCAATATGCCCAAAACATAATGGGCCTCATTCACGTGTTGGCACACAACAGCTATCCTATTAAGAAATTGACCACATCACACGAAACCGCCTTTCATGCATGGGTTCCAAAACTCCATAGCTTAACATTCTTTTTTTCATAATCTGCCACATTATGCACATTAAGTCCTCTTTCACCTCCTTACTCCTTAACCCAACAGGAATTTCAAGGAATAGATGCAGGGGTCTTACTAATCCTTTTTGCAGAGACGTCAAATTAGTTTTCAGAAAGGTTACCCTGAGGTCAACATGTATGGCCCTCGGCCAAAGCCCTTTGAAAATCTAGCTCAGCTGTAAACTAGCGAGCACTGTACGTGCGAAGGGCCTGTTCTGTAAGCAAGGAGGCAATCTGGATTTTTTTATACTCATAAATCCAAAATCTGTTTATCATTATAAACATTCATGGGTCACTTTGTCATGAGCAGTTAATTCGTCGATTCGCCAGCATGATTGATCAGTGTTCTGTTAAAAAAACAACAACAATAAACATAATAAAAACACATCTATGAGTACAAACTTAGCTTCTGAATCAAACTGTGAATGATTGTATTAGCTGAATGTAAAGGTATCGTTTTCAGTAGTTATTAATTTGAATCCTCGTATTCAATAGCTTCATCCTTGAATCAGCGTGCTTAATCCAGCTTCGTTCTCCTTTGCCTCGAATCCAATTGCACTCTTGGCATTGAGTTACGAGGCTAAGACTTGTTGCAATCAAAACACAGTGAATGGAGCATCACCTCGTCCTGGGAAAGACCACGGGAAAATAAGAATGTATCTAATTCTGAAATCACTTCATTAGGCTCCTGATCCACTCAACTCACGCATACATCAGGCGGTACGCGTTGTTTATGTCCTGCAGAGTTTCTACGATGGAAATGAAACTGAACTTTTTAATTCACAGAGGCAAAACTTTGCTGAAATAAGTGACAAAGCAATCACGTAAAAAACATGGTTCATCTTAGGACAATCTAAAAAACCATAAATCGAAACTATGTTTTTCTTTAGCAGGTAAGACCCACTGAGCTCCATAGCTCAACGAAGTAGTTCATTATGTGGAAATGTATAGCAGCCAAACACTCCAAAACTCATACTCACGTTTCTAAATGTGGAGGGGAAAACCGGAGGACCTAGAGAAAAATCGACGCGACCACAGGGAGAGACACATGCAAACTCCAAATATACAGGTGTTGGGCTCGGGATCGAACCCATGACCTCCTGTACATCAGGCGAGGTAGTTAACATCTCGTCACAGTGGCACCCCAATCAGTCAAAGGAGATGCGGCTGAGACTCGGTGCAACTTGGTGCAACTCGGTGCAACTTGGTACAACGTGGTACAACTTGGTGCAACTCGGTGCAACTTGGTGCAACTCTGTGCAACTTGGTGCAACTCGGTGCAACTTGGTACAACGCAGTACAACTCTGTAGAATTGGGGACAACTTGGTACAACTTGGTGCAACACGGTGCAACGCAGTACACCAACGTGGTACAACGTTGTACAAATCGGTACAGCAACGTGGTACACCTGACACCCGGGTTTCATGATGGGCGGCTATCAAAGCGGCAAGGCAGTGCTACCGGCTCGGCGTTGCGAGCTTCTCGGCAGCCACGTCGCTGCGCTTCACCGCAATTCAGATGAATCGCAACCGGCGCACGACAGCTCTCGCCAAAATTTCACACACACACGCAAAAAAGCAATTTTTCTCACGGAAAAAAAATAAAAATGTCTTGTGTTTTGATGACTCCAATATCACATGCACAAATCAACTACATTGGCGCAAGCCGCAGACTCTGCAGCGACGATGACAGCACCTCCGATACAGAATAGGGGCAAGCGATGGCAGGTGTGGATTTTAAGTGATTTATGAGCAACAAATATATTCCTTAGCCAAGCAGTGTGCTTGCTCGAGTGTGAGCACGAGGGGAACTTCAAAACCATTTATCATAAAAACATTTAGCTATTTAATCAGTTTAGCGCAACACACACACAAAAAAAACTGCTGACAATGCACGCGCAACTTCTTATTCACGCAAGGTAATGTGTTTGCTGTGAAATTATGGGAGCAAGTTTAAGTTTATTTCACCGCAGCAATTTCTTTTTACTGAAAAACACTAAACCCATTATTGCAGTGACAACATGCTTTACCGCTCGTTGAAACTCATTACACAAGGTACGCGACCTTTCGAGCCAATTATTTACGTGCATATTTTTTTTTGCGCTGAAGAATATTCAAAAAGTTTATTTTTTGTTTTGTTAAGTAATTTTTCGGAGATGCGCATACAAACGCATCGTTCGGTAATGTCCAATTGGCAATAGTGCACAAGCACAATTAAAATAACAACACAACAAATGTACTACGATGAGCCAAGAATGTCTGTGTGTCCCGCACGTGACGTCACTCCACGTCGACCAGCCCTCCTCATTAATACTCATGAACAGGTGACGTCCTCCACATGGACCCCCCCCCCCTCATTAATAATAATTAGCGGCTGACATCACTCCAAATGGGGGCCGAGGCGCTTCCTCCCCCCTCCTCGACGTCAACTCACAACCCTCACTACAAAGGCAGAACCCTCACATCACGCGATCTCCGTAACGCTATTGAGACATAGAAGTAACAAGGACGTCATGATGAACAAGGGATTATAACCTTTAAATGAAATAAGTCTGTGTCAGCGCGCCCTTACAAATTGCAAACGAATGGATGCAATGAATATAACACGTCGTGGTCTGCTTTCCGCTTGCAAGTTTCAGATTTACTGAAGTACACCCGTCCTTGGACGGGCAAAAGGCTAGTGAATCTCTAATGCTGCTAGAAAATAACTAAATAAATAAATCGCCATAAAAGGGAATGTATCAGGATATCACATATTTATGTGCTATTAAAGAGAAGGGGCATTGTCTGAAACGTCGCCGGTTATATATTTCCGTCTTAAGGCCACAGTGTTGTTGAGGAATGAGCTGAATTTGTATTTATTTCACCTACACAACCGCTTTCATCTCTCCCGCGTTTATTCTGCAATCGCCGGCCGTTTGTCGCCGCGTGCACGCGCGCCACCGATAGCTCGCGAAGCTCACTAATTAATATCACCCCCGTCCGTTCATCTCCACGCCCGTGAATGCATTCGTAGCGCCCTGACAATCGCCTTAGCAAAGGACCTCCTCGCTGGGCGTGGGAGCGAGTAATCGGTGCCGGGTTAATGGGCCCTGCGGGGGGGGATGCACGCACCTCCAGCTCGATGCGGTTGAACTCGTCGAAGCACGCCCACGCTCCGCACTGCGCCAGCCCCTTGAAGAACTTGCCCATGGCCCTGTAGTCCAGCCCGTCGGAGCAGTTGAACACGACGCACTGTGGGCAACGCACGAGGGCACACCGCACACACGGGCCGCCATGGTCAACGCGGAAAAACGGCGTGTAAAGGTGCAGCCCTGCAGTTGCTCGCTCTGACACCGCTGCATCTCCTGGGTCGCATGCGGCCCTTTGATCCACCACATGCGGCGCTATCGAAGGGGCATAACGTAGAACATAGTGCTATCGCAGTAGCAAAGAATAATGTACGTCTCCCACGCTCTGCGAAAAACTTGGTCTGTTATAGGTTTGTCCACCCATACACTAGACGACGGTCTAGAGACCCTCATAGGAGAACACTTTCCAACCTGTGATCCGCAGACCAATGGTACCCCGCAAAGACGTGGGGAGTGATCTGTGAAACTGTTGCAGATCCCTCGGTTCACTGTCCATCCCTCACAGTCAGCCAGCAAAACTTTAAAATCTTTTGTGGAGCCCTGTCTCCCTCCACCTTTCTCTTGCCTTCTCTGTGCTGTATATTGCAATGTATCTCAACGTCTCGCTTTGCAACGTGTTCTATTAATCTATTCTATCATCTATTCCTGTCCGCTCTTCCACCTCTCTCTCTATATTACTCGACTCCCTTTACTGCATCTCACCCACTTCCCTCCCCCTATCTCTCTCCATGTTTCTCTCTCTCTCACCTCTCATTCCCTTTATTCATACCTCTCCCCTTTCCATCTCAGTATATCTCGATGCTCTCTAATACTCCCTCCCACTGCTGGTCACTTTCCCTCGATCTCCTCTTTCTGTTTTGCTCTCTCTTTCCTCTCCATTTCATGGCCGTTCACTCTGTCTCCACCCCTATCCCCTCTATTCCAATTTGTCTCTCCCTACCTAATCTCCCTCCTCTCTCCCCTTGCCTCTCTCCCCTCTCTCCTCCATGACATCAGCGTGATTCATGAACCCGGCTCAACGCCGTGGGATGGCGAATGATTGTCACCGTGCAGATGTGCGCGGCAACGTCACCATGCACACACGCACTTGGCCGTTCACCAGGCAGGCAGACAAGAATCCAGGCAGGAATCCAGCCAGAAAATAGTTTTCTTATATAGTATGAAATACCTTCGTTTTTACTGAATGATGGCCGACGATGAATGTTTGAAGATTGGGAACCACTGCTTGAGAGGGTATTTGACCTACTCTTCCATGCTCCCAGACGTCCTCAAAGAGGTGGGAGAACCCACACTTTATTTAACAACCCTCCAATTGACTGCACGTGAACCCATTCGCACTGCTGGGTGGGCCAGAGACGGGGCGAGGGGGTTAAGAAACCTGCAGCATTGTTTCAACTGCCCCACTGGGGGACTGAAATGAACTGGCGACCCCTGGAATGCAAGCCCAGTGTGTTGTCAATTATACTACGTATGTTGATCTTCTTTCGCACCATACACAGCCAACCGTGCTAATCGGAGGTGCGGAGGAAGTACGACTAACTAAACACAAAAATCCGCTCTTGAAGAAATTAATTTTTGATCAAGATTTAAAAGTTCCAGTAGCTTAACCACTACACCACTGTGGCAGCATCCAGCATGGCAAATGGCAAGAGGACGCGATCAGAATGAATGTGGTTCAGGAGCACGACAATTAGCGTTGACATTAACGCAGCAGAGCTCATTGTGACTTTATCGAAAGACCCAAGAATATGAATTCCTGCAGTCACGAAAGCTTTAAGTCAAGAATTACTGTCGCAATGGTTATTAAGCTGGGCGAGTGTGTCCCAACCCTCCACCACCCGACACGGCCAATCAGTAAAAAAGGTGTCACGTTGACAAAAGACAAATAGTTCACTACTTTAGCCAACCGGTGTGTTGAAGAGTGAATCCACAACATTTACAATTTTTGACCCCTTTGTTGCAGCGCTGCGATTTGCCATTAACATGCTAATCTCTCTTTAACATGCGAATTTTAACCTGGCAGCCCTTTGATTGGTGGAAAACCAACCACCGTCAGGTTGGCTGCCCACCACTTACATTATCATTGGCTGCTGACATTTGGGCTACGCCCATTTTACACCCTTATAAACAGTTTGCCTTGGAAGCTAACCCCCCTTTTCCTGAAGACGACTGCTTGTGTTGCGATCGAAACGTCGTAGTTTTTGTTATTTTCTTTGAACCTATCTACGTGACTTTACCGAAAGACCCAAGAATATGCATTGCTACAGTCTACATTATAGGCTGCCAGTACACTCACGAAACTTAATAACGAGGATACAGTCTACATTATAGACTGCCAGTACACTCACGAAACTTAATAACGAGGCTACAGTCTACATTAGTGGTTTTTTGTTGTTTATTATTTTTATTCGCTTTATTTATTATTATTACTTTTCTATTCAGCAGAGCTATGCTCCTGCTCACAACCATGAGATGTGTATGACCCACGAACAAACAATTCTGAATAAACCCAAATTCACCAGATATCAAAAGCTCCAAACAGTTGAGCCTGGTTCGTGGTTAGAATGGAAGAGTTTCATGCTTAGTGCAGAAACGAAATTTCGAATATAACTATAAACTTTTTTTTTATTTTACCAGGTAAGGCCTACTGAGCAATGTAGCTCTGTTTCAGAAGCGACTTGGCCACAAATGATAGCCCAACGGAGTGGTTTGTCACCTGGAAATTGGCAGCTGAATACTCTAAACGCATGTTGATTCTAAATGTGGAGGGGAAAACTGAAGGACCCGGGGAAAAAATCCACGCGACCACAGGGAGAGAAACACGCAAACTCGTTAGTTAACGCCTCTACTGTGCATCGCCTAATAAATAATTAGCCAGCATTAATAATGTCCCACACCTAACAAAGGCCAGCATCGATCCCACTTGACCAGGATACTGGAAACGATAATTGACGTAATAAAACTTTAAGTGAGATTCGCACATACACACAGTGTGTACACACGTGCAGTGCTATAATCATCGGTGCTTCATATGTCTCTGCTGTTCCCAAATTGTGGAATAGATCCAGAGCGATGCAAGCCATATCTTTTCCATCTAATCCGAGGTTTTATTTAAAATTTCAATCGCCCTGCCTGTGAACGTCCGAGATATTTGTTGCGTATACCTGATTTGCAAAAAAAAAACATTTACTCCCGAGCTCACAAACCTTTATTATGCAGCACGGCAGTGCAAATACCCGAAGAAGGTGACTGTATACCCACGAACTCCTCCCGCTGCTGCTGACCCAGCAGCACGAATGGGTGCATCACAGTTAGTCGATTGGCAGGTCGAATATGGTGGGGTAAAGTGTAATAAGAGCCATGTATGGCTCACGTGGCGATCGGCTTGCCTGTCCCGCTTTGTAGCCAATGAGGGGAGAGCCCGGGAGCATGGCCTCGGCGTGATCACGGCATGTTAGCTAAGGTGATTGGCTTGGCCGATCTTGGCCTCAGCTAATGGGAAGCCGGATCAGAGGCGTGGTCCCGGGAATTGACGGGGAGTGATCTGGAGCGGTCAACGCTGACTACTGAGGATTGGCTTAGGAGTACCACGTGACCCAGGGGTTAAGAGGGGGAGAGACGGAGGAGTCGGGAGCAGACCTGGGAACGAAGAGAGCAGGAGCCACACGCGTATGGGGCTCTGGGTGCCACGTGCGCGGGGTGCGACTTCGCTGGCTGTCTGCCCGCTTCCCGTTGCCTGTCAGCAACGGGGAGTGTGTGTAATTGTGGAAGTGGAAAATAAAGGACTGATTCCAGAAGCCGTCTCGAGAAGGTATGGGTACTCCCAGCTCTTTCAAGACGTCTTAGCAACGTAGAAGAGTAGACCAAAATGTTCAGCAGAGGGGCTCTTTAGAGCACGGTTGGCTACGTACAGTGCAAAAGAAGTTCAACATACACATACATATCCTCCTGTCAGCAGTGGCTTGGGCTGCGATCATCCTTGTAAAAGAGCTGTTTTAGCACCATAGGCTTTACCAGTTTCAATAAAAGTCTGAGTCTAAGCAATGCAATGCAGGGCTGTAACCTGAACCTTTACATCACAGTCGCACACAACAATTATTGCATTCATGCATTCACGTCTCTGCATTGAGATTCCTCGTCAGAGGGAATGGTCTCTATCGAATCAGGTGGGGCAGTGGCAGGGTGTGCGTAGCATCTTGCCTGCTTAGCCACGGCCTTAGCCAGATCCTTGCAGGTCTCTGTCTTGCCCGTTCCAGCTGGGCCTTCGGGCGCCCCACCCAGGTTCAGCAGCAAGGCTCCCATGAGTGTCCTGCAAGCGTAGTCAAGCAGGCCACCCAACCCGCGCACGCGCACAGGCGCGGAGAATCACGGGTTACTGAGCGTCGCACAAAGCCATTCGTCCTTTGCCATCCGCTGTGCACATTCGTTAACCTGCGTCTGAATGAATTCCGTACGTGTGGACGTATGTTGCGTGTGCATGTTGAACTTCTTCCACACCGTACGTAGCATAACCGCGCTAATCGGAGGTGCGGGATGTAAACTGGAGTAGCCATCCGTGGGAAAGCAAAAAGATTCGAGCTTCATTGGACTAAGATGAAAGTTAAATGCAATGATTGCATTGTGATAGTGGTATTTAAATTAATTGCTATGTTAGTGGCGGGTTGTGATAAAAAGAATGAAGATGCTTGTGCTATTGTTCATGGCAGCATTGTCCATCATGGTCCTCACAGAAAAGTATATCGGCAGGTTTTATGATGGATCTGGCAGTATGGTGCTGTGGTTCGAGCGATTAAGCCACAATTGGACAGAAGCAAGTTGCAATCACAGTCAATGGTTAATTCCACGCATTATCCTTCTGGGATTGATAAAATAAGAACCACTTTGTGGAAAGTCAGCAGTAGAGAGATTAGCCCCCATCAAAGTAATGTGGAATTTCAACTGTTGCATAAAATAGCAATAGCATTACAATGGAAATTGTTGACTAAATGGTTACATAAATTTTTTTATTGATGATAATGCTTACATTAGATGACTACAATAGCCGGTGTACCGGAAGCAGTGGTGAGTGTGCAATGTGACGACCGGCGTATCCGTAGCGGCGGTGAATGGACGGTGTGACGACCGGTGTACCGCTATCAGTGGTGCGTGTGCGATGTGACGACCGGCGTACCGGTAGCAGCGGTCCGTGAGTGGGGTGATGACGAGGCGGCCCGTGTTGCCCAGGTACTCGTATCCGTAGGGCACGCCGGTGGTCACCATGCACACGCGCGTGCCCCCCACCTCCCAGTAATAGCGCAGCTGAGCGATCCACGGGAACTCGGCGGTGCCGCGCACACCGGCCTCGGCCAGCCTCGCCACCACGTCCCGGGCTGTTTCCCCGGGGCACAGATGCCGTCGTTGAGCGAGGACAATACTCAGGCGCTGAACAATTCGACTCGGGATTTATCTCCGTGGTATCGGCGTGCAGCTGCATATGACGGTGACGTATGAAGGGCGGCACATGTGCATCATGAAGAAGCACCGAAAACAGGGTGCAATGCTTCATACGTGTATATATCTATATATATATAATCATATTGAAGGGATATTGCAGAGATAGGCAACAGTTATAACTAAGCATAAAAGATTAGGGTCATGAGCGTAGGCATCAATAGCGACAAGGAGTTGGCTGCACGGAGGGATGGGGGAAATTATCTCCAGAACAGAACAGAGGCAGAAAAGGAACAAGCGCCCATTGAGTCGCAGATAAAGAGGGGGGGGGGGGCGATTTATTTATCATCGCTTAAATAAAATGTGATTCACTGACCAATAAAGGTCTCTGGGCCCATGTCACAATTTGTTTAAACAAAGAAAACCCTGGACCAATTGGTCAGTGGCCATGAACGTGATGGTAATTCAATGGTAAAGGAGACGTATTACCTGGTAGTTTCTTTCATAATGTTGATTGATTGGACAGTATTGTTAATACCCTGGTAAGTCTCACTGATTATTCAAGACTCTGGGTTGAGTGGACGTCCAACTGGGATCGAAACTCGTCACGTTTGCAGTCTGGCACGGCTTTGCCAGATTTGGCCATGCAATGCAAGTCCTCGGCAAGTCTCAATGACCCTTCATTTCGCATTGTCAGCACAATCCTCCTTGTGATGTTCTGACGCATTTATCTTTTGAGTCAGTTTGGCTCGAGAGAAACTCCACAAACACCAGAGGAAAATGCTCAACTGATACAAATATTGCGGCGAAGTGGAACTTCTGTACTGCCCGCCATTGGCCCACCTAGTTGCCTGGGCAACCAGGTGGGTCTCCTCATGCACATCACGATTCCATGCTCTGCATGTTTCATCGAAGCCCTCTAAAGTCACTCGATAACAACTTGTGGAAAGCTGTCAAGTTTTAGATTTGAACAACAGCACTGATGCGTAATGGCTAGTGCTTTAAAGAAACATCTCTTCAAAATCAACTCAACAACAGATTGCACTATTTCGTTAATTCGTCACAGAAACACCAGACACTGCCACCATTAGTCTCATATAATGTGGCTTCGTGGTGAGCACAATGAACACTGGAATATTCACCCCCTGCAAGTGAACAGTAATATCAATTTACGTCATATCAATTATTTAACACGGTGAAAGCCTGCTACTAAAATATCTAATTTTCAAGGCAGACCTGCACAACGTGTTACACGGGATAAGGCCCGTTATTAATGTTCACAATCTAGTTGGGGGTGATTTGCAAAACTAGGCGTTGGACTGTCACTTGCACACAAATTATCTCATGATATTTCGAGTCCACTCTACAGCAAATTAATCGCTTTGTTAATTTCTCCCAGAAATTGTATCACCGTCATTATCAGTGGCCTATCCACTGTTGGATGAAGGACACTTGCATCCCTTATGATTCTGTGATCCCTCACAGTCAAGTCGGAGATTTTTTTTCGATTTAAAGCTTGCGTGACTGCAGGGATTCATCTTCTTGGTTCTTTCGGTAAAGTCACGTAAAATGGAAATAATAAAATAATAAAAATAAAACATCATAAAATAATTCTCACGACGTTTCGGCCACAACGCAAGCAGCTGTCCTCAGGTGAAGAACAGGTCTGTCAGAAAGACAGCGTCTGAATGAACACCACCAGGCTTGGCAGCGTATTTTTAAGCTGGGTTGGAGGGTGAAGAGGGCCTTGACAAAGGAATTTGCATTAGCTGCAGTAACTAGCTAATCGAGTCTCTCACCTTTCTGAAGAGATGCCGCGACTCTAAGGTAATACCAAACGCATTTACACTAACATCTGTTGCTGTAACTTCTTCTAATGCTAAACGAATTATACTTTAGTTGTTTACGTGGTGGTTTTAGTTACTGCAGCTAATGCAAATTCCTTTGTCAAGGCGCTCTTCCCCCTCCAACCCAGCTTAAATATACGCTGCCAAGCCTGGTGGTGTTCATTCAGACGCTGTCTTTCTGACAGACCTGTTCTTCACCTGAGGACGGCTGCTTGCGTTGTGGCCGAAACGTCGTGAGAATTATTTTATGTTTTATTTTTATTATTTTATTATTTCCATTCTACGTGACTTTACCGAAAGAACCAAGAAGATGAAGTCGGAGATTCTTCAATCTCGACTTATTAAGGATTTCACTGCTTGGTAATTTCTCACAGAAATAACCAGAAACTGAGCCATTAGTCTGACATAAACCCGAATCAGTGGTGAACCCAATGAATCTCACTGCACATGACCTGATCACACCGCTCCACCTGCAGTGGTCTTCCACTCTTCCCTCCGGAATGCTGGAAAGAGCCTCATTCATTGGCCATCATCCCTGGCCAATCCCACTAACAAGTCAATGTGTGGTCTCTGATTTGCATTGTCCCTTATCCACGTTCTTCTCTGCATCTATCAGTGTAATTCTGAGCATGCATCTCTCCTCATGTCTGTTTGCGCACTATTTATTTTTTTCTATTTGCTTTTTCAGTGTCCAGCTGAACTTGATAACAAAAAGCAACATATTCCGACAGAAGAGAGTGATCAGTGTATAGGACCAGCTATGACATATGGATCAGACATGCATCAGGAATTTCTTTATCAGGTGAAACCAAGCCCTGGGATGATTGAAATAAAAATAATCGACATCAATTCATCTCCCCGCATAAACATGTAAATATTCATGTTCTCCATCAGTCAAAACTGTCGACTGATCTTTAAGATATTGACAGCAGAGTCAGAATGTAAAAAATGTGTTGCTTTGTTGCCAGATGCTATTAGTACGAGCACTCCAAGTAGAGAATGGGTCCCTAGTCAACAATAAGAATGTTACCTGTTTCCTTTTGAAGTGGCCGCAAATATAAAACAAAGACTGCATTGACCAAGTAGGATCCTTTATTTAAAATAAAAATGTCTTCAGACTTAGTTGGAGCAATGACATTTGTTCACAATATAGGAACATAATCACTGCCACTTGCCATAAGAACGAGGAATGTACAACACTGGCTCAAGAACAGGGACTAACACGGACTCACTATCGTTTGAGTGGTGACTTTTGACTTGTACTCTCATCGTTCCATTTAATAAAGGTAATCAATGCGTGTTATTTACAAATGCAACAATGCAAAAGATGGATTAAGCTATTGACAGATAGCAAGAGAGAGGTCATGGTGTCAACATACAATTCCAAACGTGGCTGAAGAAAAATCTCTAAATAATATATGTGAAGGTGACCGGGTGGCTTAGACATTTAGAGATACAAGGTGTAAGTCTATGTTTGTGTGTTTGAGTCGATGTGTGTGTGTAACTCCATGTGTGTGTGTCTAAAGTCGATGTCTGTCTGTGTGAGTCCGTGCGTGTAAGTCGATGTGTTTTTATGTGTGTGGGTCGATGTCTGTGTGTAAGTCGATGTGTCTGTCTGTCTTTTTCGCCTGGGCAACGCCGGGTACTTACCGCTAGTAAATAAATATTGGTTTGACTACCATGTAATGGGCATTACTCTCTGTTGCTGAGAGAGTGGGAAAGTGCTGTAACCTACTATGTCCAGCGGAGGTCAGTTGAAATGAACCTCAAGGGCAGCTCTGCGATATTTGCTTCAGTGGATCGTTGTCTAACACGAAGGGTTGCACTGCACCTGACAAGATCCGAATGGATTCTGCATCTCTTGACCTGGTGCCGATCGCACAATCGGGGTAAAATTTTGGGAAAATAAATATATAACAGTTAACCTGGGCAGTGGAACTAACATGGACCCATTCGACAGAGTAAGCACACTGCATATGTTATATGTGTAGTGGTGTAAAATTGGTCACTACGGCACGTCGCGGCGAAGTGTTGTAAAACAAGGGAATATGGGTGCAAGAGGCTAGCACACCATACAGTCGGTCACTAGGGGCGTGGTATCGGGTGCTCGCAGAGAGAGGGGCTGATGAGTCCTACCGACAGAGTAGGGAATAGCAGCCACTCCTCCAGCGCAGCGAGTCATTGCCACATCGGGTGAAGCACGTGATTGGTGGTTGGGGAAAGGTGACCGAGGGGACACGGAAAGTGTAGCCGGGTATCTTCTAGAGAGTTCCTGAAGGGGGTGTGGTTAAGGCAGAGCCGGGCAGGTGGGAGGTGCAAGGTCGTCTGGAACCTTCGGGAATGTTCCAGAGGGGGGCTACGGCTGAGGGTGGAGCCAGGCCGTGGCGAGAGGGATAAAAGAGAAGCCCCGATCGCATATCGGGGCTGTCTGCAGGTGAAGTGGAACCCAAGTGCTACAGCCTTTGTCTCCATCTCCGGCGTCGTGGGTCAGATATCACGTTGGCGGTTCTGACCCGGTTATAGTTACCCCGTGTGCGCAAGAGATAGGCGCGTTATAGTCCCGTGTGTCACGAGTGTAAGAGTTAGGTGCATGGTAGTCCCGTGTGTAACGGTGTTATGTAGTGTAGAATAAACGTTGTTGCCTCCTAAATAGTGGTTCCGAAGTGACTCACTACATTTAGTATAATGCAGTGATTAACCCGAGTGCAGGTAGCTCACCAGCTGTAATCTTCTAAAATCAAGATCAATGCCGAAGCTGATGAATATTCATGTTATTTATACAAGTATATATCCACAGTTGGTGATAACCCATTGAGAATCATTCAATGTGTTCATGGAGCAGGTCGGCAGTATGGATAAAGCACTTGATACACAACTGGAAGGTCACGATTTCAAATCTGGGTCATGGATCAACAGCCAATTATCTGTTTGGGGTTAATAAAACTGAGTGCCACTTTGTTATGGAGACTTACTGGTCCCTGTCATAGGAATATGGAATTTCTGCCACGAACGAAGGTGAACACCAATACCACACCATGCTTGAGCAGCAACACTTTGAAATAAACTTGACACATTTACTTACCAATAAAACATTTTCAGCCCCTTGTCATTTAACTGCTGCATGAAGGCCTCCCTGTTACATTTTCGTCACGGTGGTTGTTTGATCATACGTCACCATGCTGGTCAGTATGGGTTGGTTAAGAAGAGAGCCCAGGACTGGTTAAAATATAACTCACAAATGGTGTTAGCCATGCCCTGGTACTCAAACTCGGGCCATCAGATTCACAGTGCAGTGTGCTAACCACTGCTCCACTGCTCTGCCACCAATAACTGTTATTGAATTATAAGCTACACATTTTTGGGAAGTGCACTGATTTAAACATGACTTCTTTAATGACGTTAGAATTATTTTGTACTCAGTTGTGCAAAAAATAACACGCATGAATTGCATTTTTAACACGTCCGCTTTCGGGACCGATATTACGATTGAATAACTGATTTTTGGGTCAGGCCGCGTAAGTAAAATGTGTGTCCATCTTCTTGGTTCTTTCGGTAAAGTCACGTAGAAGGGAAGTAATAAAATAATAAAAATAAAACATAATAAAATCAAATAATTTACCGAAAGAACCAAGAAGATGAATCCCTGCAGTCACGAAAGCTTTAAATCGAAAAATAAAATGTGTGTCGTTACACACTCCTCCACCCGAGACGGCCAATGAATAACGTTGTTACGAGAACAAACGTGGCAATTAATGTCTGCTTTAGCACCACCGGTGTGCCTGCTGGGAGAGCAATCCACATTGAACGATCCGCTATATTGATGACATCGCACCAAAATCTTGACTTAAAGCTTTCGTGACTGCAGGAGTTCACATTATTTTTATTCGAACTAATCTACGTGACTTTACCAAAAGAATGACATCACACCGCCTATTCAAGGCCTAAGACTGGAGGACATTTTCACATTTTCGGCATCTGCCAGATGATGACGCCGCTTGTAGCTACCAGCGACAAGTCCGCACCCGATTGTGTGCCGAGGAAAAGTATTACATTGGCACGTGTGTTCACGTAACAGCTTTATTCGTTGTCTGTGTCGGGTGGAGGGGGGTTTGTGACACACATTTTTGCTGACGCAATCCGACCCAAAAATGAATTATGAATGCAATTTCTTGCAGGGTGCATCCGAAATTGAGTGCAGCGGAGCCTTCTGGAAATGCACGTGACCTCGCTTAACACATACGTCTTCACACATTTATTTATTCATTAATCATAAGCAAACAAACTGCTCCCAAAGAAATACGTGCCATTACTTGCTGAGCTCCGGTATCACACTGCATGAAGAAATGTGAGAGGTTGTTTTATCCACTTGCAATGATTGCAAAAATGTAAAGCAATATAGGCGTGGGGGGGGGGGGGGTGGCAGTGTGACAACCACTGCATGATAAAAACTGACCACCTCAGTTCGATTCCCGGTCCATGGCTAATGCCAGGTTGTGGGTGATGCCCTGACCAGTACCGGGCCACACTTTTTGACCAAGCTGCATTGACCAGCGTGGTGAAGTATGGTCAAATAGCTCTACAAGACAACATGGCATAGGAAGGTATTCATACAGCAGTGGATTTACAAAGTACTGTAAACATAAATACACATATAAGCACTATAGCCTGACGAATCCACTGTTGACATAATTGAGTGACGGGGTCCAATTTATTAAACGATTATTTAATATTTAATAACTAATTTAATGTTAAGTCAAGGCCATAGTGTGTTTGTGACTAAACAGGCATTGCTGACATTCCTGTCATGTGGTACTCAATACATGAACCCTGAAGGGTGATAGGCTCAATAATATTCCCCATTGCAATTTGAACTAAAATCTTCTGACTAGGAAGTGAAGAGCTATAGCTACCATGCCACCTGGCCAGATTTTTTTTGTGAGACCTATTGAATAACTCCAAAAGCAGTCCCGTGCTGTATATCTATTGGGACCATTCTCAGACATCATGTGAGGTTGTACTGACTTGAAGGGAGTTCCAGAACTAAGACCACCTCATTAACGACGCCAACAGCACAATCGAGATCAACATTGCCCTTACAATCCCTCACAAAAAAATAACATCCCTGCATAATATTATGATGGTCAACACAATTTAGAATTTGAGAACCGCTGAGCCAAACAAAAGACTCGGTGTAATGTAAGCACACCGGACTTGCCATCTAGAGGTCACCGCTTCAGATGAAACGATGGTGCCAGTTTACTAAATTCCCCTGCCTCAGTCCACCCAGCTGTATAAATGGGTGCACCACAGACATGTCACGTGTGGCAGGGGTAAAGTGTGGGGACTCCCACCTCTTCCAAGACGTATGACCAGCATGGAAGAGTAGGCCAAAATTGCCCTCCCTTGAGTCCTCTCTAGTGGAAGCCCTTCTGCTGCGTGGTGTCATTAGCAGGAAATTACTGGGCTGCACCATTACCCTTTTACACGGCCGTGCAGACTCAACTCAAACATTTATAGACTCAAGGCTGATTGTAAGTCGAACACACTAACTACGCGCACCATGCAGCGGGTATAACGTAATCTAGACGTGCACCGAATTAATGTAGCATGTATACTTATATCTTCCGCATATGGCACATTCAATACAATCGTCGACGCTAATTAAATCGAGGACCGAAAAAAGAACACGTTCCCTTGCCGATGCGCGCGGTGCGGAATGGCGCACACTCGCAGCCCCTTCCCGCACGGCACCTCAAGCAACAAGCTAGCGGCGCAATGCGAGCTCGCGCGGCGAGGGATTACCGTGCACGTCGACGGTAATCAGAGCTCCCAGCGTGATGCGAGCCATCTTCGAGAGCTTCCCACGCACCATCCCCACCACCTCCTCGATTTGCCTGCCGCTCTGCTCCAGATAGGCGAGCAGGCCCCCGGGCTGCTCCATGGCCTGCGGGATGCACAAACGGGGACACCCCCGATGAGGCGCCACCGTGGCGAGATGTTAAATACCTCGCCACGTATACAGGAGGGTCGTGGGTTCGATTGCGATCCCGACCATGACGCCTGTTGTATATTTGGAGTTTGCTTTTCTCTGGGTCCTCCGGTTTTCCCGTCCTCATTTTAAAAATCAAAACCAACACGCGTTTAGAGTTTTTGGCTGCTATACATTTCCACACGATAAGCCACTTTGTTGAGATATCATTTGTGGCCGGGTCGCTTCTGCATAATAACTACACAGCTCAGTGTGTTTTACCTGGTAAAAAAAAATGTTTAATAGTTTAGGCAAAGCTGCCCGGCCCAGCGGTGAGAACGCTTTATGGAATTAACGACGACTATGAGTACGGCGTGACTCACCTGTTACCTCGCAGCTGCACAGCATACCTGGAAACGTTTCGACAAGCGTGTTCTTTAAATGTATAATTATTATCATTATTACAATGTCGTATAAAAATATACGACCATCATATATTCAATGTGACTGTCCGCACCTAGCAAGTTTTATGGCCGTGGTGTAAGAGTCGTTCTCTATAGATGTTCACAGTTTTGACCTTTCCACGGACACAGCAATGCATTCTTAATCTCACATTCATTCGCTTACTTCTAAAGTGCAGTGAAGCATCGTCCCATGTTTAAATCTGTTTGCGCTTTATTTTTTTCCTGTAACCGATCTGTGATAGCTTGACTCCCGTACTCTACAGACGTTCACATATCCGTCCGGTGAGCACATCCACCAATACCGTAGACCCCATGCAAGTCGGATATTCGGCAATAATTCCGCCAGGTGATGTAAGGTCTGGTGTCAACGTTAATCATCAATGACAAACGAGAAAACCCCAAAGGCTACAAGTTATCTATTTGATTCTGGGCCTCAGAGAGGAGTCTCGTTGACCAGCACGTGGTATTGAAACATGCCGTCACCCTGCGTGATCCACTAACCCTGCCTCAGAGTCACCGAAGTAAAAGCGCCACCGCACCCTTCAAAATATTTTGAATTCAACACACTTCTTCAGACTTTAATGATATAGCACAGTGGTTAATTAAAATTTTATTTCAATCATATGCCACACTGAATATTATATTACCATCATTACGATTGTCAAAACATGATAAAGGCATTTTGGGCTTGTTAAGGATAATGAGAAAATATATGACGTTTGGGCCTTCGGTTGCTTGGGCGAGATTACATCAGTGCTCTAAGAGAAATGTATTGAATGTTCAATGAAAACCCAGGGCTGTAATTATTATGAGTGGAACATTATCCCAGGATGGAAACCCACAGCCTGCATGCCTCAGCCATGTTCGCACAAAAACCTCAGTACAATTTCATTTTTATTTATTTTTCCTCCCTTCTTATTAAAAAAAACGTTCAGAGTGAGAACCATTGAAACCAACGCAGGCAACAGCCTGTGAGAATAAGACATCATACAAGATGCCCGAGGCTTAACTATTAGCATTAAACGTCACCAACATGTTTTCATTACGTTTCATTACGGCAATTTAGCCGATTCCGTGAGGCTGAAATTCATTGAACGTTTTGCACAACAGCGTTTGCAGCGAAGCGGCGTTGTTTTTCAAGAGCATCCGACGGTGTTTTTGTCGGCCTGTGACACAGACGCATACACTGTGGGTGAGCGCTGTGAATAGAGCACCCAGCTGACAATTAAAGAGGTTGTGAGTCAACTCAGCCAAAGTTCTGTGGGGGGAATATTTCCTGCCATAGCAATGTGGAATTTCAACCAATGGCTCTGTGATCTCAACGTTGATTTGCATTTTCCCCTCACAAATCTTGGGGCAAAGAAAAACTCTTTGTTTCTTTCAATGGGCGTTGAACCAAATTCCAAATGACATGACGCACATGAAAAGATTGGGAAAAATAAATATTAATATGCTGCAATCGCAAATTCAAATCCCACCCAGGCGTTAATCGGCTCCTTTCCCCCCCTGGGGTAGAAGCCATTTCTACCGTGTTTTGGACAGTGGCTGTACTGAGGAGAAAATGACTCCTGCCATAAAAAAGTGACATTTCCACCATTGGCTCTGGATGGCCAGCGGAGACGAGCACACGCAACTTGCTGCCAACGACGCATTCAGAGGCTCTGCAACACCCGTGATGACCATCGGGCATTAAGCGGCAGCACCGGGTCCCAAATGCTGAGCTTCTGGTGGCAGCTGGTTTGTTTGGCATCATCGAGGGTCGCCTGATTTGTGCCCAGCCGAAGATGGACCGGCCACGTCATTCGGATTCTCGTACGAGCGAACGTTAAACTGCTTTCGCAACGTACGTAGCCAACCGTGCTAATCGGTGTCGCCTCCCCTAACAAGTCCTATACAGCGAGCTAAGATCCGGTAACCTCCAGCCAGGAAGCCAGATGACATGCTTCAAGGACTCCCGGAAACAGAAGCTACACATCTCAGACGTGCCCGATTCAAACCTCGAATGGCTGGCACCGCGCCATCAAAGCGGGCACGCGAGATGGTGGACAAAAAACTTGCACTGTGCATCTGGAGAAGCACTGCTCAAGAACGAAAGCAGCTTTCATCCCAAGCGGTGAAATGGTGCAAGCGGCTACGACGCAGCAGCGTCGTCTCTCCCATGCCAATCTGCGGAGCATCACGGAGACCCAGCAGAGCAGCTGTATGTATGTAGAACTTATTTCACATCGTACGTAGCCAACGGTGCTAATGGTAGGTGTGGGGGAAGGACAACAAACTAAAGACAAAAAGCAGTTCTAAAGAAGTGAATTTTCAATCTAGATTTAAAAGTGTATAGCTTCAGTGGCTTCCTAATATCGGAAAGAAGAGTGTTCCAGATGGCCGTAGAAGCACATCTGACAGCTTGCGATACGGTGACCGTCTTTGTTCAATGGCTAGACAAAAGCCGCTTTTTGCATGATTACCAGAATTCGCTTGATCATTTATGCTCCTGACGATTGTCAATGTCATCCTGGATTCCTGAGGGACAGCAGAGAGGAGTGCCACTCGATACTTGCCTCAGCTGCCGGACAGGTAGACAAGTTGCCTCTCTTGACAATGAGCAGAGTTTATTTTTTAAGTTATCATTAAAAAAAATCACAAAAATTGCTGAATTGGTAAAGATGTGATTTTCTACATTGGGAATATAAGGCCATTCAACTACACGCCTGCCCAATGTAACCGAGGCGCTCATCAGTGTAGGAATCTATGTTATGTCCTTGCCACGGCCTGGATTCGCAAGTTCATCTCGCTAGAGGGTGACCTCCGACTCCTTAGGCAAACACGGCTGCAACGGCAATCGCTCAACAAAGGGCGCCCTGTTGTACCTCTCTCCCATCCACGAGCAATCTATAATCTCCAGCGTTTGTGCTGCTGGATAATCAGCCAGCATCACTTGCCTTGCTTGTGCTCTCACACTTGAATGGATTTGTTTTTCGAAGCCGGTTGAAAAATGTACATTACCGAGCAATACAACCCTTTTCAAATAAATGGCGATGACAGCACCAGTGCCGCCGCTGATTATAATGACAACAACATCATCAAGCGCCGTAATGCTCAACAGAAATAAAAATGTGCTCCTTCGGGGAATCTCAGCTCACACGAGGAACGTTGCGAGCCGCAAAATCACATTGCAGCAACGAAGCGGTGTGTGTCGTGAATGGCTACTGCCTTTCACATTTGGTTTACTAAGTCATGCACCGATGAAATTATTTTATTTAATTACTTACTTATCCACATATGCTACACTGAGTCATAGAACTCTTTTTCAGGAGGGTCCTGCCTCATTGGCCCAATTAATGATGAGCGTATTTGTACAAGTGGGTGGGAACTGGAGCATGCGGAGAAAAACCCACGCATGCGAGGGGGCAACACTCTATCCCTGTACAGATGGAAGCAGATGGGGATCAGTCCACTTGCTGTACCGCCTTCTCCTGGCAAGCCAGAGGATGGCACTTGTGTGTGTCTGATCCACCAACACTCGCTGTCTCCACAGTGCTGGACTACAGATCACTGCCTCAGCATTGATAATTTTTTTTTATTTGAAGCTTTCGTGACTGCAGGAATCCATACTCTTTGGTTCTTTCGATAAACTCACGTAGGTAGAAATAATATAAAATGAAACAAATCACGACGTTTCGATCGCAACACAAGCAATTCTCATCAGGTGGGAACACCACAGCAAGAAAAAATAGCCCACTTCAGCATTTTTTCTAGCTACGTGACTTTACCAAAATAACCAAATAGTACACATTTTGTTGTTTGTGGTTTTTGTTTTGGTGCCATTTCTTAATTTGTTTGTTCATTTTTGACTTTGCTTGGTAGCCGGATTTTCATTTGCTCGGCAATGGCTGTAAAAGATGGGATTAAGTCCTCATATGTAATTAATGTATGGCGTTATAGGATGCTATTAGCATGAATGATGCTATATAAAATAAAATATAATAGCCACCACCTCTCAACGTGATGAGAATAAGACGCTCCTGGTTGAACATCAATCCCAAAATATCTACCGTTTAATGGCTTGAATGTCAGTTCATGTTGGCTCAGGGCTGAGAGCCAATTTTGCAAACTCGCATTTCTATGGCAGTCTTAGCCTACGTGTGGGATCTCATCTGATTTATCTAAAGGTCATCTATCTATACATCTGGGTTGGAGCGCCGCCCTGTGAACAAGGCAATCCGAGTCCAATTTCTGGCCATGGCTAACATCAGTGGAACGTTATGTCTATACTTGTTCTGGGCTTCCCCCAGTCACCAACCACCACACTGACCGGCATGGTGAGAGGAGCGGTCACACAACCCCCATACCCAACATGTGGTAAGGCCTTTCATTCAGCAGTGGGTTCAGACACTTGACTCAGACTTCATTAGCTCAGCTGGTAAGGGCCCAGTGAGCCCAGCAGCTCTGTTACGAGGACCACAGCCCAAGACCGTTCGCTGCCGTGGCAGCTGAATGAGGGCAGCACCGGGTCCCAAGCATGCTGAGGTTGTGGAGGCAGCTATTGCGGCCGGCATCATCGAGTGTCGCCTTGATGAGATGGTGAACAAACAAAAAACTTTCACCGTTGCAGCTGGAGACGCGCTGCTCAAGAACAAAAGTGGCGTTCATCCCAAGAGGTGAAATGGGGGCGAGCGGCTACTACGTGGCTGCACGCAGGACAACGCAGAGTGGGAATGTGCAAGCCAACGAGAACAAAAACGACTGATTATGAAGATGAAACCCACGGATAAGCAAGAGTGCTTAAAAACAAATAGAAAAAACTGGTCAAAAACGCTGTCACGAACGTATGAAAATATTTTTTTTTATCGTGCATACAAAGGGCTGTTTACTGAGACTAAGGGCTTCAAATGATCACTATTTGTATTTATCTATATCTACATATAACGACCACTGGTGAGTTCATATACTCTAGGAATTATGGGATAATGGGGGAAAACTGAACCTCAACCAGGGTACGAACTCGCTCTTTCCAGGTGCGAGTCATTTTAAAAGTATAGTTCATGGAACCTCCCAAGCGTTCACATTTAAGTACGGGTTACGATAAATTATCTATCATCGACATAAGCAAACACCAGCACTACGTCTACGCATATATCTCTATATATTCTGTCCCTTGGCGAAATGCACTATTAATGCACAAAGTTTATAGTGCGTGAATAGCTTTTAATAAAACTTCGAACAGGATTTATTTAAATATATATAATAAAAAGCGATACATCGTAAAACGTACAACTAAATAATAAAAAAATCGATTGGCTACATTTAAAACGAACATTTTTTTCGCTTTTCAGACCGTGATTCGTTTTTATGGCGAGTCGATGCATTTGAAATAGCTGGCTATGACTAGAGCAGGCCTCGCAACGTGAGAAGTCACGCAAACGGATGCTCACGAGGGCGGTGTCAATCACAACGAGACCGACAAATGAAATGCGAGAACGTCGCCGCTCGTGCGCTGCGGGTTAGGACGACCACGATGAGATCATTTCCACGACCGTCTTCTCAAGCTTCACTGCCACTTCTCACGGTGAAGGGAGCCAGCCACCTCTTCTCTCATCAGAATATTTTATTCACACTGAAAAAATCCGATGAGCTATGCAGATCTTTTTCACCGATGTCCAGCAGTTAGGGACGGGTCAGAAAGTTAAAACAAACAAGGCAAAAAATACGCAATCCGAGTGAAAAGTATAGGAAAGGAAAGAAAATCATTAAAATAAATACGCAAAACAGATGAAGTGTACGAGTTAAAATTTCATGAGTACACCAATTCCCAAGCATGGGCAAGGCAGCAAAACAACGGCAAAAACAGTCCCAGACAAAAACCAAGACAACACCACACATTAAAAATAAAATTGTATATTCTAGCCATGCGCTCTTCCCCATCCATTGCCCTCAACCTTGCTCATGTCCTCTGCGATTGATCAGAAACGTTTTTTTTTATATATGATGCTTAATTAGCCACAACAAATGCTCATTGGCAAAAAGTTGTCCACTTGCTGCCAAACATTACCATTAATGAAGGGCGCACTGTACGTCATGTATCCAAGTAATTCAGTTTCATGCTCCGAGTCAATAATTCTGCCTTTTATCAAGTTAATAAACCCAATTTTCACGTGTAACAAATAAATCGACGTTCTCCTTTCGACGTAAAACAATATTACTTTAAAGTCGAGCCGCCTATCCAGATCAATATCACCCGGCTAGATTTGTGTAAATGAGCAAAGGGTAAATAGCCTCGTTCTGATGACGCTACCCTGAAGGTTGGAACCAGTCTAATGTTGTCTGATTAAACAAATGCTGGTCGACCATATTAGACTGATGGACTAAAACATAATTACGTGAGGTGGACTGACAAACCGGTTCATGTATTTAATTACTCACAAAATATCCATGTCATGGGATTTTCGAAAGCGAAAGAATATCCATCATGACGCAAATTTAGTTTTTTTTGTTACACAATCGTGAAAAGGGTCGACGCGTCTTTTGGGTTTGTATTGCGCCGTCGTTCACGCACGTCCGAAGTTTCGCCCCACGCACCGCGATGCTTCTTCAGTCACCGAGTTCGCGAAGCTCCCGGCGCGTGGAGCACGACGTCAAGACGTCACGCCGGACAGCACGCGGTACGGACCCGACAACAACAACACCACCAGACAGCACGCGCAGCAACAACCCCAAATTGCCACAGTATTCCCACGCCGACTGCGTCAAACGCGCGCACATTCCGCTTCTGCACACGCTGCCTCTGCTGTACCTTGGAGACATCGGAGGTCCAGTGGATGCAGCTTCCCGCCAGCACCACCTGGCCGGGCCAGCTCAGCACCCACTGGGCTCGTGGGGACACGGGATACGCGGCCACTGCCTGGGCCATCACCTCCTGCAGCGAGGCCTTCATGGCCCGCTCCACCTGCACACAGCACGAACCGCGGGGTCAGGAAAGCTCAGGCACATTCATCCGTGCGTTATATTGGTCCCTGCATCGTATTAATCCGTGTGTCACATTTATCCATGCATCACATGGTGATCCGTGCATCACTCTGGTCCGTGCGTCACATTGGTCCGTGCGTCGTTCATGCAAATTGCATCACAATCGCTGAGGAAACAAAGGAAATCTGCAAGGCAGCCTGGCGGTAAGCTGGAGCCACCAACAATTAATTGCCCATGCTCTGCAGTCCTTTATATATGAAGATGTTTTCAGACAATTATTATTTTATGCATTACAAAAACATAATGAATGGGGCCGGATTACTCAAGGTAAAACTGATTACGGTAGCATGTTGGGAGTTGACTACTAGACTGTATTTTATTCATGAGTCTGGTAGTACAATGTAATAATAATTTACAGCGCCTCGCCATTCCACTCCTGGATGAGAGCCCATGCTGTGTCAGTCACGAGGGTCGTTTGACCACAGCTCACCACGTTGGTCAGTGCGGGTTTGGTGAAGTCTCGTGGTATATTTTGACATTTGTTTTCTTTTCATTGCAAAGTACGGAACGACAATAGGTTCATGGTAGTCTGTAAAAAAAATGTTTATCTGACAGCAAAATCTATAACCAAAGCAATCTGTTTCTGAATGCACCGATTGCGGTCTTGTTTTCCAGCAGCATTCATTTAATCAGACAACTCCTGGAGCGACTCTGACTTTGTGCGTCTCATCAGCAGAATGGGGCCCATTACATAAATACTACTGGGATGCCTGCTGCAAGAGGCTCTACAACGTAGATTGCCTCGGTCAATAGTGCTCAATCAAACAAGGCCAGGCGGTCTACACGTGAAGACGTGAGTTCCTGCAAAAGTTTTAAAGGCAACAAAAACATTGGAGGCATTGAAGAAATGTTCAGACATATTTAACATGCGTGAATTGTGTCTGTGAAGTGCATGCAAAACAGTTTTCAATCACAAATATCTCCATATGTTTATGCATACATGAATGCCACCAATGTCAGCCAATATTTTTGCCATGACAAATACTGCCAAGGTCCACGTGACCTTATTCTCTTAAATGACAGAGATCTTGCACATACTAGAATGCTTGAATCAGTAAAAATAGTTTTCATAGTTCCGTAAACATTGTCAGTGCTATTTTGATAAATATTGCATAAATGGGGCCTGATCTAATCAAGCCTCATGTGCAACATGTTTGAGATTTGCAAAAGAATGCGGGAATGTGATGAAAATGGAAGTGTTAAGCCAGTTGATTGTTTAAGGACATCACTTGTGTTAAAAGGGGTTGATTTTGGACAACAAGCTATGGGGAATGAATCACATATCAGAACATTTACATGTAAGTGTGAGATGAGTTAATTTAATAATCATTGACAAATTTTGTGAAGAAAGAGTGCGGTCCTGTTGAATGTAAAAGTAATTTACAGGTCATAGATGTCCATTTGCCAATCAGCCAGATCAATGTGTAAAGCAATGCATTTTTGTCTCAATGCTCCAGTTCTACCCATGTGCAAATGTTGCCATGGCTGTCAACACATTTCGGTATTCTTAGATTTTTCGGTAAAGTCACGTATGTAAAAAATTAAAATTAAGAAAAGTAAAATATTATTATTTTACTTTTATTCATTACTTTTTTTTTTACCTACGTGACTTTACCGAAAAAACCCTAAAAATATGAATCCTTGCTGTCACGAAAGCTTCAAATCTAGAAACATATTTCGGTTTTATTCCTTGAATACCTTTACTTGCCTGTAAACCCTTAGAGTTAATAAGTATAACCCGTAAAAACAAAGTTTTTCACTCTAAATCCTTTATATGCGTGGCGGCTAGAGTCCTCTCGTCCTCTGGCTTGAGATGGCTGCCACCTATGGGTCAGATGATTGTCTGCCAGTATTAAGCAATTGGTAATTAAATATTTAATTTGTTTTCCCTAAACAGTGTAAAATTTAGGAATTTTTTTTTTCTCGAACATCAATTGTCTCGCACAACGAGTCTGTGTGCAAAATGTCAGCTCGATTGGATCACGGGAAGTGGGTTAAAAAACGACCGAAAGATTTGCACGGTCGTAAGCAAGCAAGCACGCAAGCAAGCGAACTTAATATAAAGGATTTAAAAAGACAGGTAGCTTGCTGTTCTTCTTATATGTAGCTGTGCAAGGGCCTTTCCATATTTGATCATATTATACATCTGCCATCTAGTGGTAATATCTGGAAGTTAAATATGTACCTTGAAAATGAAGCCATGCTCCCGTTGCTCGTGCAATATTCAACAACATTGTTGAGTTTGCAGGTTAACTCATTTAACTTACTGAAATATGTACCTTTCTGTGTGTGTGTATATACATATGAGCAATGTCCTGGACTCATTGCAATTGTATCCTTGTGTGCATGCAACACAAATTACACTCTTGGCAAGCAAATGCATTGCAGAAAAGTTACACTTTATTTTACTTTACCTTAAAATATTAAAGAGTGGATTAACTAAACCCAAAGTAATTTCATTCGGTAACTTTATATATATAAAAAAACACTCCCACCACTATACTCATTAATTTGCAGATTCCTTTTCTTCATCACATTCGAAAAGTGAAATAACTTTACGAGCGCTTTAAATGAAAAGGGGCAAGTCAGCATTCCGCAATCAGCTACGGCAAGTCACACAGCTTGTTACACACTGCAGATGAGACTGAGCGATGGGAGAATATAAATATGAAAAAACTACGAAAGTACAAGTTTCCCTTCTACAAATGAGTTCTAAACCTTTGGCAATTGCTATGTGCAGAAATCTTGGAATAAATGGCAATGCAAGTAATGGATAGAGCACAATTACGATGACGTGATAAATGAGATCGGTGCAATGAAGAGGTCTGAGTAGGAAGTTGTTCTTGCTAATGGTGAATTGAGCAACAAAGGTTATTTTCTTTTCAAAAGTCAGTCACTCCTAAGAAAAAGAGCATTGCATGGTCCTTCTCTCTTTAAAAACTCCGAGTCAGTGTAGAAAAATAATTCACATTCCTACGACAGGGCCATCAAGACCAACAGCAAACTTATATATTTTTTTACAAACAAGACAAAAGCACTGAATTCGAACTGGCTTATTTATTGAGAAGTATTGAAAACGCACGCGTGTGTGTATGCTATACTGGTGTCTTGCGTGCATTACATTTTCACAAATCAATGCAGCGAAAAGGGTTGTATTTCAAAAGAACCGCACGTAGACTTTTGGGATGAGTGTGCAACCTCTGAGCACTTTTCACTTATTCATGGAATATCTTTATACGACCCAACCCCATTTAGCTGCAAACAGCTTTTTTTTTTTACAAGGAGGCAGAGCGGGATTCAGCGACGATGAATTATGGCCGCTCGTTAATTTTTTTTGTTGCATCAACACGCAGTGGACTGGATCTTGTACCGAGTGATGCCCGATGTCTGTGAAGCGGCTGAAACCGTGGGTCTAATGTTGCCTCCAAAATACAATGCGGCTTGTCGATGTGTGGCCCAGCACAGGGCTGGGGCAAACTGCGTCCTTCATTAGGATTCCATTCATTAGACTGGAATAGGCTGCCAGTTTCTGATTTGAACAGGCTTCATTGACTATCCGATACGTGTAATGGGTCAAGTTTCACATTATGAAGAAATGCACCATTAACACCATTATTACAATTCTAATCGTGAGTAAACACGGCTCCAAGTCCTGGCAGTCTCCCTTTGCATCGTTACCAGAACCTTCATCACGTCACGATGATCCATGGCTGTGACCTTGCGTCAATTTAGACCACAGGGATGTCCCACCGACAGAAACAGATGGGAATTAGCGACACGAGTGGCATTTAGAATTCCAGGTAATGTCTGTCGGCAGTAACACTCCTCAATGCAAGAGAGATAAGTCGAAGCATTAAGGGTGTTTGCCTCGGCCGGCAATGTGCAGCCGCACAGCCATCATTCGCAAAGCCCGAAGTTCCAGCGGTCCGACATCACTCGCAAACATAATAGAAGTTTTTTTGGGTTAGATCGCATAAATATATAAATGTGTCGCTAAAACCCGCCACCACCCGACACAGCCAACTAGTAAGGGTTGTCACGTAAACCGAACATGCCAATTCGTCACTAGTACAGCACACCGGTGTGTTGGAGAGCCAAGCCACAACATTTACAATCTGAGTACGACGTTTCGTCAGTAATTACAACTGACTTCATCAGGCGACAGCCAGATTCGTGGAAAAGTCCACGCGTTTCGTTCCTTATATAGAGGCGTAGATGTGGTGACCACGCTTAAGCGCTCTTGCACAAAATGGGGGGGGGGGGGGGGGGATTACTGAGTTAAAATCACTCGCAAAGCTGCCAATGTGGCTCCTTTGTTACAAGCTGGGAGAGGGGGGGGAACGCTCAGTTTGGGATTTACTTCTGCGCCACTGTGCGCTCCAGCGTGCAGATGCGATGATTACCTCCGTCGGCTACGTACGGCGCGAAAGAAGTTCAACGTACATATGATGCGATGCCCCCCCCCCACACACACAACCCCACCCCCCGGGGCTCTGATGTTCTCTCCACAAAGATTACACAATCAGTTTTAACACAGCAGCTACTGATCTTCACCCTCATTATCCGTATCCGGTCATCTGGAAAATCTTCATCAGAGGCCCGCCCCCCCCCCCCCCCCCCCCATTGTCTTCACTTATTGCCCGTAATTCCTCTTGTGCGGGTCTCGGGATAGAGAATTTGCACCGTGTTCCATGGCTTTCACCCCTACGCGAGGTTACAGAAGCAATCACATAGGAATAAAAAGCCATAAAGCACAGATGCAATTTTATACCGCTGCAGGAAACCCGTGTCTGGCAGACGCCCGGAGAGTGGAGACGCTTCTCTCGATCAACTCGCGCGTTTCCCGCCACGATGTCTTTTAAACAATAAAGTACTCGCCGCTGGGACAAACGAGAACCGTCGTCTCACGAAAACTGGCGC